TTTGTTCCAAGATACCGGCATCTCCCACTCGGATGACTGCGCTTGCCTTCTAGAGGGCCTTCCGGCTTCCCCGCCATGACTCCCACAGCCAGCCACAGCGCACCTTGAAAAACCCGAGTCAGAGCCACCACACTCCGCTCAAAGCCACCAGAGTGTGCCCGGCTTGCTCCAAGGAGAAAGTCAAGTCCGGTCCCTGTGGGTTGCCCCTGCGACACCCTCCCCGGCCCTGCTTCCAGCTCAGTCTGCACCGCCAGGTCGGTGGCTCCTTCCATTTTGCAAGTTCTTCTCCCAGATCCCAGCACGGGTACGCCTCCGTTCCTTCACATCTTTGCTTGTCCAACTGTCACCTCCTCAAGGAAGCCCACCCTATTTACAACAGCATGTATCATGTCCTAACTCGCTGATTTCTTTGTTCTCGCTGCTTTTCGCGTCGCCCACGGTCTGACTACTCTTTTCGACGATGCAAGCCCACGAGGGCAGGGGCTTTGGCTTGCCCACGGAGGGATCCCAGGTGCCCAAAGTAGTGCCTGACACGTAGGAGGTGAGACTACAGACGCTGTGGAATGAATGAATGAATGAATGAATGAAAGATACTTCCTGGGGTTGGAGTGGGGCACACATGCCCTGAGAGCAAGGGGCATGATAGCCTTGGAAAGGCAAAGAGAAGAGGGGCGTGAGTCCATATGTGGGGAATATTTAGAGGAGTGAGGATGGACATGGCACCTGCCCGGGGCGGGGGTTGGTGGTGGTGGTGGTGGAACGGGAGTTGGTTCCTGCAGGCTTGCAAGTGTCAGAGGTGATGGGTCACAGGTGAAGAGCCCACATGGATTCCTTCAAATGCACCTTAGCTCTGGGGAGACGCGTCTTGTGATGACAGGGTGACTAGAGAAACCTTAGAAGGCCCGGAGCAGGACCCAGGGATGCAGGGGTTTCTGAAGGATCCCATGGGATTGGGAAGAAAATTCCAGAGTTGCCTATAAGCTGCTAATGACCTAGAAGCAGAGCCATATGGGTGGAGGGAGGTGCCTCTGAGGTGAGGCATTGTTGCTCATTTAAGCCTGTCCAGTTGGCTGCTGTGTGAGTCAAGGTCACGCCAGACTCTGCTTTCACAACAGACTGCTGGAGGCTGTAGGACCATGGGCAATGGTCAATATGCTGGCTTTGATCGGGCCGCAACTGTTGCCCGGCTCTGTGGACCTAACCATCCTTGGGAAACAAGGGCTCCGAGGCATCTGGGGGTTGAAAGTTATGATGGGACCAACGCAACCGTCTTGGTTGGAGACTAGACCCTCCAAGTGATGCCAGCAGGGGTTTTGGAAAGAATGCCGTTTGCTTGGGTGCCACAGTCTCGCTCGCCCATCTCATAGTGCTTCACAGTTTCCATCGAGTTTTTAAATAGATGCTCTTATTTGAGCTTCCAAACACTCTGCTGGAAATATCACATTCCTCTGACAGATGACAAAACGAAGTCTTCGGGCATTTCGGTAACACTTTGACAGGAAGCAGCAGTAAGAGGCAGCGATTTGCCAGTCTTCCGACTTCAAGTCCAGCTCTCTGTTCCTCTCCCAGTCGCCTGCCTGCCTCGGGGGATGTTCTGTTTGTTCTTTTTGATCAGAAGCCATTTGTTGTGTGGGAGAGGAGAGAAAGTGGCCCAGGAATAGGTGCCGGGGCTCTGGACACTGCCTCTTGCTGGCTCTCAGTCACAGACGCTGCCGTCCTCCTCTCCCCAGACAGTCCTCTGGTGTCTTTAAGCACCAAACCTTTCGATCTGGGGGTGTGAGGAGCATCTCAGCGCAGAGGAAGGGCGGCTGGGAGGAGAGAGGAGGTAGCAGAATTCTCAGCATGGGCTGGTAAATAATTTCTTATTGAGAAAATGAAAAATAAAACACCCTATGGTGATTTAAGATGTCGATTACAGAACATAAGATCTGAAAGAGTCCTGGCTGGTGACAGTGAACCAGAGGGGCCAGGTGACAACGACATGTTTACCCAAGGGCACAGTGGATTTCCACTGACAAGGGAACTCTTGTCTAGGAGGAGGTGAACTGGCCGCCCCTGGAGGTCCGGGTCTCAGCTCTGTGGCCAGGGAAGGTGCTTCATTGCGCTGTCACCGCCATTAGCATTGGCAAACCGGAGATGAAAATTCCCGCAGGTCAAATTCACAGGGTAGTTAAGGGTGAAGTGAGATGAATGCAAAGGTGAATTGTAACCAGATACAAGTGTCAAGGGCAGCTGGGTGAGTTCAGGCACCCTCTCTACCCCCAATCGAGTCACCTTTTCTGTAGAAATTTTATGTCCTAGAAAATATTTTTTCCTTTTAAAAACATAAATAGTTTGAGAGAAAAAGGCAGATTGAAGGATGAGGGCTTGCCAACTTAGGAGCCCCAAAGGATCTCCTTGGGCTGCCTCAGGCCTCTCTGCATCCAGAGGAAGGTCTGCTCTCACCTTCATGTGTGCTCCTGACATGTGGACTCTAAGTCCCTCTGCACGACCTCCATATGGCTCTGCCTGTTGTCCGTAGAGGACACCTCTGAGGGCTGCTCTTTCTTTCTGTTTCTCTCCCTACCGTGTTCCCCCATGCTGAGCCCTGCACGGCACAAGCTCCGAGCACAGAAGCTCTGGCTTTTAGACTCCTGGGCTTGGACAGCACCTGGGGGGCAACTTGGGGCTTGTCCAGGGCTCATTTAGTCTGCAAAGCTGGCCGTCCACTCAGGAATGGGAGGGGAGGCTCAGCATGAGTAGCAAGATTGATTTTTTTTTAAATGATCTGAAAATTTACTGGAAGAAATCAAGGGAGAATGTACCCATACACACACACACACACACACGTGCTCACACACATACCATGAGACAAAGACAGCCCACAGTTCTCAGAGACAGAGGGGCACTCATCTCGATTCTGGAGCTATAGGGGTGACCAGGGAGGGGGCACAAGGTTATGGGAGGGGGCGTAGGCAAGTGTAACAGCCACAGCCCCCTCCAAAGTCCATCTGCTGGAAGAGGAGCAGACAGGGCTTCGAATCGGGGGAATACGGTAGATAAGACAGGATGGCAGTTTAACTGATTGGGAGCAAAAGATGGGAGCGGAAGCGGGGAGGGAAGGATGCTGGGAAGGCATTGGGGTTTTTGACTGGGTAGTTTTAAACATCTTAGATCGAAACTGTAAAGCGTCTGCTCCGTGCTGTTATTCAATGGTTCAGTGCATCAAAGGTCTATGCAAACATTACCAAGTTTCTTAATTAAGGAGAAATAATGACAACAAAATTAAACAACACATGTTAAGGACTAACCGCAAGAGGGCTTGCCTATAGATAAAGAGAGAAGATTTAAACATGCCAGGTAACAAAAAGACATGTGCAGGAACCGGTAGGAACTGTATAGGTGGAGGCAGCTCTTGGGAGGAGAAGGCACCAGGCGGCCTTGCAGGAGTGGGCGTCCGTCTGGGGCCAGGGAGCTGGGATGGGCTTGTCAGGGTGGTCAGGGGACAGGGGCGGGGGTGGCAGTAGAGAACTAGGCGGGTGCATGAGGGGGTGAGTGGGAGTGAGGCGCTTACACGGAGCCTGCTTCCACAGCAACCGGGAAGAAAGGTCCACCCAGAGAAGCTCGCGGTAGATCACCCAAGTGCCTCCAGAGAGAGGGGTGCCAATAGGGTTCCAGACATGATGGATTCTTCTCTTCTCCCCCACAATGAGCCTGCAGGAGCCAGGCTGCCCACAAGGGCTACTGATGTTAAATGGAGACAGAGCCCGTTTGATGCAAGTTAACGAGTCTTAGGTGAGGGTGGGCTATGGCTGACAATGCAGGCAAAGTCATAGCCTTAACTCAGGGTGTTCCACTTTGAAAGCGCTCCCTTTCAAGATGCTGTGGGGATGAAAAAGTGGGAGGTGGGGTGGGGCAGGGGAGGTAGCAGGCTGGAGGAGGAAGAGGAGGAAGGGGCCAGAAGAGGTTTGGGTCCCTGCCCCCGCAACTGCCCTGAGTGGTCAACATTTCCTCGTTTTTGCACTCCGTGATTCCCAGAGCTGCATTCACCTATACAGCGTGAGTCATGCCAGGCTGATTGGAAAAGGAGAGAGAAAAAAGATGCAGCAATCAAAAACGGAGAAGGAAAGGGAAAGTCCTAGTGCGTTCCAAAGTCAAACAAAACAAAAGTCAAAATAAAAGCAACAACAACAACAAAAATCCTTTAAACCAATTTAAACAAATAAAAGAAAAATCAAAATAAGGAGATGGGGAGGAAAAAAATAAAACGAAGGGGAAAATAAGGAACTGGGGAAAGACACAGTGAGCGTTAGAGCAGGCACGGACAGTTAGGTACAGACGCCATGTACTTACGTTTACCTCGGTGATTGCTATATCAACAATGCTACCCACAACAATCAAGGCGTCAAATGTATTCCATGCATCACAGAAATAGTGCTGCATGAGGCCGAGAAGCCGGGGAAAAGAGAGAGAGAAGAGGGGGGAAGAAAAAAAACCAACAAGAAAGGAGAAAAAAACAAAACAAAAGGGAGGAGGAAAAATGAAAAAAAAAAAAAAGGTATGAAAAAGGGAGAGAAGAGAAAAAAATGAGAAAAGAAAGAGGTTACGTGGGCATATTAAACGCTCTCTTACCACTCTACAGTTCTGGCGGCTCAAACCTGGGGAACCTGGTTTTCGCGGGTGCAGAGGCCTGACAAAAGCTGGGTTAGTTCAAAGGTGGCCTGGGGCTGTGGCCGCCCTGGGGGTGGCGCCGTCCCTCCGCTCGGCTCCGTGCCCCTGCCCGGCGGTGCCGGGCACAACTGGGACGAGTGGGAAAAAAGGAGGAGCAGCTCCCACTTTTTTTCCCCACAGGACGACGGCAGGTTCAAGAAAAGGCATGACTGGAGGCGGGTGAAAACAGGAAATTAAAAAAAAAAAAACAACCAAAAGGAGGTAAAGAGAGAAAGTGAGCGAGAGAGAAACAGAGGAGGTGGAGGACGAGGAGGAAGGAGGTTTCCTGGGAAGGGCCGAGTAATACTCACATTAGTCTCACTGAGAATGACGTCAATTATGCTGCCAATTACGATGAGGAAGTCAAAAACATTCCAAGGATCACTAAAGTAACCCTACATAAGGGAGGGGCAGGTAGGATGGGGATTAAAAAGGAATATTAGACAGACAAGAACAGAGCAACATCAGCATCAGAATCATCGTCCGGGCACTTCTGTGTTGCAGCTGGAGTTCCAGGTGCCCTCGCTGTGGCCGGGAGCCCAGATGGGGAGGGGGCAGCAGAGAGGCTCTTGTGCAACCCTTCGGCCCCCCTTCCCTTGGCCGCACGGTCCCCGTCCTACAGATCCGCCCATCCTGCCGACCCTCCTTCACAGAGGCCGTTCCCACGCCCCACGGGGGGGCAGGACTGTGGGGGCGGGGACAGGACGGTGCAAGTTGCAAGGGTGCCAGAGGGGGCTACGCTCATTTCAGACCATCAGAAGGGCCTGCCTGGAGGCGGGGAGCACAGGTGTGTGATGACCCCTTAGAGGTGGACGGGCTGTGCTCCTATGGGTGAAGCCCTGAAATCCACAGCCATCTGTCTGGGCCACGGGAGTGGCGGTTCATCTGGGCTCAAAGGACCAAGTCACTGAAACCTGATCTGTAACAAGCAGGTCTTTGTGCCAGTCAAGGTAGGGTAATCCTGGTTCCTGTACTGGACATGCCCCAGTGTTTCTAGGGCCAGCTCTACCCAGGCAAGGATTTTACTGATGGAAAGGAGATCGTTGAGATCAGTCTCCTAGTTTGGGAGGGTCTCATGTGGCTCCAGACAGGGCGTTCTGGGGTGTCTCTTAAGCACCTCCAAGGTTCCTTTCCAAACCATCAGTCTGATGCATTTGCTGAAAGGCAAAAGCCACCCAAGGTGAGTGAAGTCATCAAAGCCGCTCCTGAGAACAGGTTTGATGGGGTCGGGTTAGGGGCTATGGGCCTCTTAGAAAGTGACCAGAGGCAGTGGTGACATGGAGATATCCTGGCACAAAAGGAAGAGACCAGTGTCCTGACTTCACCACTTTATTCTATAGACATGGATTTTATTTGTTTTATGCTATATATGGAGAAGGGAAGACAGGAATGTTCTTTTTTTTTTTTTCTTTTTGAGCCAGGGTCTTATTCTGTTGCCTAGGCTGGAATGCAGTGTGGCATGATCAGGGCTCACCGCAGCCTTGACCTCCTGGGCTCAGGAGATCCTCTCGTCTCAGCCTCCTGAGTAGCTGGGACTACCGGCGCTTGCCACCACACCCTAATTTATTTATTTGTTTATTTATTTTTTGTAGAGAGGAAGTCTCACTATGTTGCCAAGGTCGCAATCTCCTGGGCTCAAGTAATCCTTCTGCCTTGGCCTCCCAAAGTGCTGGGGTTACAGGTGTGAGCCACCATGCCCAGCCTGAATGTTCTTGAAAGACTTTTTTTGAGATACCTGGGCATCTGGTCAACAAAGGAAACAGCTGTCCCAGATGCCCTATAGGATTCCAGGAAACCTGAATGGGTGGACTCTTTACAAACAACAGATGGACTATCTGCCTCTCTAGGAGGTGTGGTAGCCTAGAGCACAATGTTCTGTGACCTTATGGGGCATACACCCACAGGTCGGGAACCCCTGGGCACAGGCATGCTCCCCACAGGTGGGGTGGAAGGGGCCCAGTACTAAAGAGATCTGTCTTTTTTTAAAGAAAGGGCACTTTATTCCTTCAGTTTTTCAAGGAATGTTCTGCAGAGGCGACAAGGACCAGCACTTTCCTGTTCTCTGGTTTCCAGGTGATGGAATTCTAGAAGCGGGTGAGTGGATACGGAGGCATGAAGAGTCCTCCGAGAGGTTCCCAGATCTCTCCCCAGCTCTCCTGCAGGCTGCCAACAATTCCCTCTGTATTTTTGACTCACAAGAGCCAAGAATCTGTGTTCTTCCATTTCCTCCTGGCTCTATCCAGCTCCCTTAACTCCTACTTTCCAGCCATGCCCTCTTTCCAGAGGGACCGCATGACATGCTGTCCTAAGGCAGTTATTCTTAGTGTGGAAGGTCAAGTCACGGGGAAAGGGCTCTCCCGGTTCCCAGGCACTGCTGCCAAGAGAAAACCGAAATGCCACTGCGGAGACTTTGGACAGCCAGTCTGGGGAAGCAGAGGTTGGCCAGGGTGTGGGTCAGGTGAGGGTCAGCTTGGAATCATGGCTTTCTTGTTGGCTTCCCAGAGTATTTTTCTGAATATACTAGGGCCTTTGAGGCAGAGAGAGAATTCTCTCTCCCACTTAAGTCACATGCTGTGAACGGGAGACCCCCAATTCCTCCCGGGTTCTCAGATCTCACTCACAGGGCCAAAGGGAGCACTGATTGGGTGGGGGGAGGGAGGTGAACAGTGAAGACCTCACATGAACTACCAGCGTGTGTCTTACGGTTAGATTGGGGCAAACACTGGGGACCCTCTCCATACGAATACCGTCTTTGAGGGTAGAGCTATTTCAGAAGGGAGAGGGAGGGAAGTCGAGGAAGAGGAGGAAGAGAAACAAACGAGCAGAATCCAGGAGCGTCAGCCTCAGCCTAGAAAGTATGCGAGAGAACATTATTCGGTAGGGCGCAGGAGGAGAGACAGGAAGGTGGGAATCTTGGTGCTCAAGAAAGGCGGATGGGTCGACGTCTCTTCATCCGCCAGGGAGACCTGGAACAAAGCGGGTAAGCTGGCCTTGGTCGGCAACACCTCTGAGAGACGGCGAGGCAGGGAGAGGAAGAAACACACAGGGCCGCACAGAGGTTTGGTGTCGAAAACCAGATACACACACACCGGTTAATCAGCGGGCACGCACCAGGGGAAAGCGCCGAGACTCACAGGGACCCTGCCGACCGCCTGTTTGTGCCTCCCTGGTCACCCTTTCTCTTGGATTTCTTTGTCGGTGTGCGGACAGGAGGAGGACACGAGACAGTCAACCCCTCCGTGACCACAGCCCCCTCCCAGCCCACGGCTCCACGCCAGCTGCAGTCGGATTGGCTGGGCTCTGTGGCGTGAAGGTCTCATGTCTCCCCCTCCCCAGGCTGGGCTACTGCAGGATTTGATGGACACCTCTGCCTCGTGGCAGGCTACCCAGGGGGTCTCCACGGGCGGCAGACACCAACCAGTTCCCTTGTTGCCTAAGGTCCCTGCGGACCCAGGCCGGATGGATTTAAGCCAAGTGGGGAGGGCGGTGAGGGAGCATGTCCGGCGGGCTGACAGGGTCCCTTTAAGCAGCAGCTTTTCACCCTGACCCATCCACCCACCTTCCCGCCCCTCTGACCCCAGAGGTCAAGCATCCTCCCAGCTGGGCCTGATTCAGGACCCTTTTTCCAGTCTCAGTGGGCTTTGTCCTCCCACCTCGCCGTCCCCTCCCCCAACCCGGTCCACTCTGTTCCCGGAATCGAGGCCCATGCCCTCCATTTGGGTCAATAAGGCCCTAAGTGGGGTGAGGGGTCGGAAGGGCTGGGAGGAATATTTCCCCTCAATGATCTCTGGAGTGCAAGATCTTGGCGTTCCCTCTCTCGCACACCTGTTTTTTGGTCACCCTCTTGTTTGCTGAAAATCATCGGTAATCATGGCATGGGGGCTGGAGTGGAGGCAGGAGAGTGGGAAAAAAAAATCACAGACTTCGTTTCTTAGGAAATCAGTTTGACCTAGAGCCAGGGTTTACCTGTCACCTGTTATTTCTCTGGTGACTAGGTCCCAAATGGTCAGGAAACTTTAGGGTCGGGGAAGGGATTTTCCTGGCTGTCCTTGAAGTAGGGAACCAAACCTCTTGTGGTCCAACCCTTCAGAGCCACGCAGGGTGGGACACCCGGAAGGGACAGTGTTTTTGCAGCTGGAAGCCTTTCCTCTGCCATCCCTGAATCCTACAGATTAAGCGAATTTCTCGCTTTTTAAATTCTCGCCCCTGGGGATGTCTTCAGATGAGCCCCTCTTCGGGCTCCCGGGGAGGGTCTCATGTGCATCCCCCCAGGCAGAGAAGCAGCCAGTACCTGCTGGCCTGTGGTTTGCTTCTACCCTAGCTGCGAGCTCACCACTCACTGACAGGTGGGGGCTGAGACAACAGGGGCCGGGTTGATGATAGCACCGGAAAATCATGACTCGGAAGGACAAAACGGCCGCCAAAGCATCCTAGGATGCATTTCACAAGCGCAGGGCGTTCTTCCCTTTTGGATGATCTGTGTCCTGATTTATCCTGACATGATCGGAAAGATGCCCAGTTGAAAGAGGCAGCATCGTGGTTAAGAGCACCATGTCCGGAGGTAGATCTGGGTTCACATACGACCTCTGCCACTTACTAGCTGGGTGACCCTGTGTCTCAGTTTCCCCACCTAGAAGACGGGACCCACCGCAGAGTTAAGATAAGGATGAAATAAGACCATGGATCCCAAGCCCTTGGAACTGATCTGAAGCAAGCACGAAGTCAGTATCAGCTGCCGTTGTTATTAACTAGCATTGCTCTGCCTCCCTGCTGGGTACGTAGGCTTCACAAGTTCAATTTTGGGTGTGGGAAGCAGCAGAGGGAAAGCCAAGCCGAGGCATGTGGAAGGAGGAGGGGAGAGGCAGAAGTTCTAGAATCTTGAGCTCTCCTTTCGTCTGTCTCTTGGGCCTTTTCTGCCCATCCTCTGGGACACGATTAAAACTCTCTTGAACGCAATCTTGCTGGTGCCCTTTGAGATTGGTGACAGGCTGCAGGCTATTGTCGATGGATTTTGTTAGGCTCAAGTTCATGTAGACAGTTCACTGCCAGGTTCTTAGAAACCATTTCTACCAGGAAGTCACAGGTTACACTTCCTTTGGCTAAAGGGCTGGGAGAAAGAGGTGGCTGCCAGGGGGCCCGTTACTGTCTCTGTTACAGGAGAGCTGTCAGAGGCTGGCGTGGAAGAGGTTAGGGGCACACGCCTATGCTCTTGAATTCTGAGTCTTAAGCTCCTTCTCTGCCCAGAGCAGAGGCTGCCCTTAGGATCTTCTCAGAGACCACAAGGGCTTCAAAACAGGTAGGTGGTAAGAAGACATCCCCAGGGAAATCTGCACACACTTTCATTCACACCCTGGAACTGTGCTGTTTGGTTTCAGGAATCTGGAGGTAATAGGTG